AATGTACGTACTCATTGTCATGCTGTTTCGAACTTATTGCAGGAGACAATTGCAAATGAACCACTGGAGACGGTGTACGATTGCGAGCCACGGTGAATCCACTTGAGATCAAGGATGTCTGTTGTTTTCTCTTACGTTTCTTAGGTTCTTCAAATAATTCAACAATGTCAGAGAAATCATCATCACTGCCTTCGCTTGTACTGAAACCGTCCTTACTTTGATATGAACCGTTCAGTCTCAACTTTTTAGCAGCGTTCTCCAGATTTCCATCAGAAGACTTTCGTTTGATTGTGCCAGTGTGATTGCTCGTAGATTTTTTCTTCACTGCACCTCCGATATCGTCTTCAAGCCAATCGTCGACAAGAATTTGTTTTTCGTTAATTAAAGGCGCAACCGTTTTAGTTACTGCCTCATTATTGCCTTTAGATGCACTAACGGTGTTAGTTTTATTGAAGGTCCGCAAGCTCGCTATTGTTCTCTTATAATCCTCACCGGCGGATATTTTTCGAACGTCGGATATCTCAGACGACGCAGACTTTTTGTCCGGAGTTCGAACGTCGTTAGATCTCTTTCTTTTCTTTTTCAATGGAATAACAGCCGAAAGCTCTTTATACATCGCATCGTATTCGACTAAATCCTTGGGATTTAAATCTTCCACGCGATTTCTCCAGCCTTCTAAACAATCCAGCACAGTTTCGCCGTCGTGGGTCTTGAGCGTCACGATAGCTCCGTGTCGTATCAAGAGGTGCATCATCGAGAAGTGTCCACAACACGCAGCGTCATGAAGCGGCGTCACGCCTTTGCAGGACGTACCGCCTGGATCGTTGACATTAGCATTGTGCTTTAGAAGCAGTTCCGCGATGTCTACGTAACCGTGATTAGCAGCTTCGTGAAGCGGAGACCATCCATAGTGATCTCTGACGTTTGTGAAATGACCGGATGACAAGAGCCTCTCAACAGCACCGACGTCACCGTTGATGCATGCCACGTGTAGCTGCGTTTCACCCTTCTCATTCCTCTTGATTGCAGTTGATGTTTTCCTCCTCGGTCTTCTTTTGATAGGCTTCGTGACACTTTCTTCGGGTTCCAAATCAGACAGATCCTCCAGACAAATGTCTGCACCAATTCTGTCGCTTTCTTCGGACGACGCTTCACTCTCTGTATCGCTCGATGCTTCCAAAAACGTTAATCCTACTTTTTGCTTCATACCCTCTGCCTCATCGAACTGACCTACGCTTTCCAGATAACTGACGAGTTCTCTTGTGACAGACTTTTGTAGCTTAACGTTATCGTTTTCGTTTGCTGCGCTCAATGCTGAAGTGTAACACTCCCGTATTTCCACATCAACGGCATTTGTCATTATTAATAAATCAGCTAAAAATAACGCAGACCTGCATTTCTCTCGAGGATTGATGCAAAGGTCCAATTCCCTTCGCGCGAATGGCAACGCTTCTTTGTAACGTCCTGCATCTTTGAGCGTTTGAGCTAGGCTCATTAAAGAAATACCTATTTGTTCACCAGTTTCCTCCGCGCAAGTTAACATTTGTCGATAATATTCCGCACCTTTGTCGAAGCATTGCGCAGCGACTGTTGCATCGCCTAAAGTTTCATACAGCTTCTGCTTAGTCCGAGTATCAGTCTCGACAAGAAGACTGTTTTCTGCTCGACAAATCGTTACAATAATTCTTAAATACTTCTCCACTTGATGATTAATGTTTTTTGGCAATCCACTACTCGTATATAGGAGAACTAATACTTTACGCGTTTCAATCCACTGTCCAGTTCGCATAAATAATTCAGCCTTTATTATTTTTGCTTCAGCTTTCAGGCGCACGTCGTTTACAGTAGCTGCAGTTTCGATATAACTTAACGCCAGCTCAAGATTGTTTTGCCGCTCGTATATAATTGCTAGAGAAATATACGTTCGATGCAGATCTTCCTGAAAATTATTCGATACACATAATGCGGTCGCTTGCTCGATTAGATTAATCGCCTGTTGCGTCTCTTTCTGCGCTTCCAGCGTTAAACCTAAGTTAAGTAGCAATCTCGCCCGCATCAACATCTTCTCTTCCACCTTGATCTCGGTGGTTGTTAATTTGTCACATAGCTCCATACTCTGCACATAAGCCATCTTCGCGTTTGCCAAAGCCTCATCTCGTTTCTGCGTTTTTCCGATTAAGCTTTCAGCTAAACAGAAATAAGTTCTACCTAAAGTAGCAAATGCTCGTTGCTCCTCTATCGAATTCTTCATGTCTTTGGCGCCTTCCAGATGTAAATTTTGATGTTTCAAGGCTTGTTCGTAATCTTCCAAGCTCGCATAAACCTCTCCAATCATTCTGTGCACTATCGCACAGCTTAGTTTATTTTGTAGTTCCTCACAGACAATTAGCTGCTCAGAATATTCTTGCAGAGCCTCCTTTGGCCGATCGTTTTCGAAGTACATGTCCCCCAGGGTATTCGTGATTTCAGCCAACTGACGAAGATTGTTGTCACGTCTGGCATTCTGCTTCCTCTTAATGAGTTTATCGATGTTCATTCTGATGATTTTCTTAGGTCTACAAAATGTCTTGTCTTCTTTAAAATCCTATAAAGTATAAGACATTAATTTCATCAAAGCAACATTTAATAAAGATTTAAGATATTAAGTTTGTTTTTTACAGCTCAACTAATGTTTACTTTTGAAACTTAAAATTTAAGATGAAATATAGGTATCTGATATTTGGTATATTTGGCAAAAGTGAGAAAGAAAGTTCTAACGATGGATAAAACTCTATAGAACTTGGCCACAAGTGACTTTGTTAAAACTTTATAAAAGTAAAAGGCATGTACATTTCTTCCTTATATACAGGGTGGCCCATGTAAAGTATTACAAGCTATTATCTCTGAAAGTGTGTCAAATGACTATGTTCAGACAAAAGTTTTACTTTGAGGGGAACATAAGATGGTACCATTTGTTTGACCTTGTTTTGTAAATGGAACCTTCCATTTTTTATTACATATTCTTGTAGCTTACCTCGAGAGCTTTTCAAAACACTATAATTAAGTTCATTTTTATTAAGTACTTTTCGAATTATGAGTACTCGAAAGTTACAGTACAGTCGGTATTAGCAATATGCAAATTGTTGTACCAACGGTTAAAACCTCTTGAATGTTGTTCAGAATCATGTCCTGAATAACATTTGTCAACATCGAGGCCATTGGAGATTATTCTTATTTTCATTTTTGCACTAAAAATTCATTTTTATGTAAAAATGAAAATAAGAGGTACAACTTCCAATGGCCTTGACAAATGTTATCCAGGACATGATCCTGAACAACATTCAAGAGATTTTAGCCATTGGTCAGACACTTTGTGTAATGCTAATGCCGGCGATATTGCTCAGAGATAATAGCTTGTAACACTTTACATGGGCCACTCTATATATATATATATATATATACTATTTGACTTTAATTTATACTGTTTTATTTTATAACATTAATTAAAATTATAAACTATTCTTACCATCTCATATGTATGTTGTAACGTCTCACTCTAATTTATACTTTCTAATTTTGGTCCATTTCTACCAATGTAAATTAACTTTAATCTTGAGTCATTTACTCTTTCTCTTTCTCTAATTTTTAGAACTAGAAGAAGACAAAAAGCAAGTAAATCGAAATGAAAGTTAATCTACATTGGGAGAAATGGGCCATAGAGAGAGAGAGAGAGAGAGAGAGAGAGAGAGAGAGAGAGAGAGAGAGAGAGAGAGAGAGAGAGAGAGAGAGAAAAGTTAGAGTGAGACGTTATAATATACATAAAAGGAGAAAATATACATCTTTTCTCTCGTAAGATTTTCCTAAAATCCTTGGTCAGATTCTATTAAAGATCTATAGCACAGGAATAAAAAATAGACCTATTGTCACCTGGAGTTTTGACAAAGATGTACTTACCCTTTTGATATGCAGTGAGATCTTAAAATCTTCAAAATCTGAACTAATCAACACCGTGAGAGGGTAATAAATTCTTAACTAAATGACCTCTCCTTTTTTAAATAAAATTTTTTAATATCTTCCAACCTATTTCAAAAGCATAACACTCCCTACGAGTTACGAGATTGCGAATCTATCATACCATCTGATCTGATCACTGATGCTCTAATTTTGGCGCCATTTGGTGCGTTCCAAAATTCATCAAAAAATGAGTGAATGTACCACGCGAAGTTTAAGGTGTCTTTTCATGCTGACGCTCAACGTTCATTTTCAGTGTCAAAACAAGTCATATGATAAAAATTGACGAATATCAAGCGTCAATTTTGATTACATAACTTATTTTGACATTAAAAATAAGCACGGCATGAAGCGTCAGCATGAAAAGGTACCTTTAAGATGCTAATGCGGCCTTTTGATTGGTTCATGACATCTTAAAACGATACTTAAGACAGTTTTAAATATAAAAATTGACTATAGGTCTGTTCGCGCTGCTTATACTTTTTACACTTAAAAGGAGATAGATATATATTTGGCGCTGAAAAGAGAGAAAGCGAAGATGCTGAGTGTAAAAAGTGTAAGCAACGCGAACAGACCTTATGAATACCGACCATAAAAGTCTAAAAAATCTCGCATTACATAAAATATAAATATAAATAGAAAGTTTCTCAGAGAAATATATGATAAAAAGAAATCAGGTGTGCGTATTCTCGAGACGAATTTCGTTCAACGGAATAATTTTAAAGTGAACTCGAGAGACCAAAATAAGTATACTTGCCACATAAAAATTATCGAAAGAAAGAATTCAAAAATATACATTTTTATTGTTTCCCAAAAAAGAAAGCGTTAATATTAAAGTGGAAACAAGCTCCTGGAAAATCAATTTTTATTATGACAACGCCTAATTCAAATAACCGCGGCAATATGGTGGCACATGGTGTCACGTTCTTATTGGCTGTTAGAATTAAAGTTTCGAGTGGTTTCAAGAAATGAACGTGCATGGAGAAGTGAGCGTCTATAGCACGTGAATTTCATGATTTAAAAGTGGTTGTAAACAAGACGCTGCAGGCTGTAAAATGAAAATGAAAAGTAATTAATAAACCGTTTGAATTCGATTCCGTTTGATTTATGAGACAAAGTCTCCTCAGGAATTATTTCCTCACGATTTGATTGATTTCTTTGTATTTAGTTTAACGCGGTGGAACCACGAGTTGATCAGGATAGGCAAGACATCCTGTAAATTCCATGGTAAAACTCAAACGATTTCGTGACAAGATAAATTTTCAGATTGTAATATTAATATTTTAACGAGATAAAAAGAGTGTCAGATTTTTAGTAAATATACAACATAATGCCCTTACCTCTGATTTTCCTAAAAACAAATGGGACTTGAGCGACGATTTTTTCTCAGAATATTTTCTATGCATGAAAATATATAAATTTACAAAATTATAAGAAAATCAGAGATGGAAACATTATACTGCACATTTACCAGATCTTTAAATTTAAGACAGAATTAGACAGCAAATATCAAGATTAGAGTTTCTGTTGAACTTTTAATCACAAAGATTTTTGTACACAATGATATTCATATTTTTTTGTGCCTCCTAGAAAGGCACAAAGGTAGAAATTGCTTCATAATTAATAATCTATTAAGATTTCAGGTTGTAACTCACTGCTGATTAAAATAATCATTCACTACTTTGTGAAGATGCAAGTATAACCTCAAGGATTCCACCTCTTTTGTACTTCTACATAAGATTCATCGTAAACAGCATCACTCGTGTGTATATTAATTGAGAGTGCAAAATGGATCAGATGCTTCCGAGTCCCGGCTTCAGTATACCTAGCATCGGCACGCCTCTGCATCAACCAGAGGAGGATCAACAGATCCTGCCGAATGCGTTGCAGCAGCAGCAGCAGTCACAACAATTCCAGCAGCTGCAGCAACTGCACTCGATGAGCCCTAACATGCAGAGTGGCATGCTAATGATAACGACACCACAAAAAAATATACACACATACGCTCCAACACCATCGTTTGCGACACCACAGAGTCTTATGCAGCCACAAACGCCGGTAATTCAATGTTGAATTTAATGTTGTATATGCTAAGTATAATGTTGCAATGGAATTTAAAATTTAAGACTTGTTAATAATTATATTTAACAGAAATACATTTTTTCTACTGCTAAAAGAGTATTTAATTTAATATTTTTTGTTATTACTTTTGAATTTAAAAAAATTTCAACTATGTAAAAAAATTACAACACTTGAATTTAACATAAATTACTATAATAAAGCTACAGAAAAAAAATTTAAAAGTAAGATTGTGAGACTAGATTATTCCAAATTATTACACTGTTTAAAAATTAGGAAAATATCCTAGGATCTAAATTCCAGTTATGGATTAATTTTGAGTATCAGAAACTTAAAATTGAAAAAACAAACGTTAAAGTTATTTTAAATTTCTGTCATAAGATAATGACCTCATGCAATTCTGAGTAAAGATTTGAAGGATTGAAAGAGATGCAATTAAGATACAGTATTCTAAACATATTAACATTTACTTCATTATTTCAACTGCTTTTTTTCTTCTATTCTTTAGCAAAATATGATGTCTCCAATAGTACCACAAAATAATCAAATAGCGCCGCCATCAATAGGTCCTGCGACCCCAGGGCCAATGACACCAATGACCCCGGCTTCCGCGGATCCTGGAATTTTACCACAGTTGCAGTAAGTAGCTCTTACTAAAAAAAAATTGACATATAATTCACATCTGCCTTCTCTTATTTCTTTAATCATATTTTCGCTTTATTTTAGGAATATCGTGTCTACCGTTAACTTAAATTGCAAGCTTGACTTGAAAAAGATAGCACTTCACGCTAGAAATGCCGAATATAATCCGAAAAGGTTTGCGGCTGTTATCATGCGAATAAGAGAACCAAGAACCACCGCACTGATATTCAGTAGCGGCAAAATGGTTTGTACTGGCGCCAAGAGCGAGGGAGATTCACGTCTTGCTGCCAGAAAGTATGCAAGAATTATCCAGAAGTTAGGTTTTCCTGTAAGTACCATCAAACTTATTAAAATGTGATACAAAATGAGTTATTTTTCTCAATGTAGGTTTTTTTTTTAATATAGTGCTGTTTATAATTTATCGCAACAAAATATTTAATAATAATATCATCTTTATTAATTGATATTACGATTTAATTTTACTTAGGCAAAGTTCCTAGATTTTAAAATCCAAAATATGGTCGGCAGCTGTGATGTTAAGTTTCCAATTAGATTAGAAGGTTTAGTGCTCTCTCATGGCCAATTTTCGTCGTACGAACCAGAGCTATTTCCAGGCCTAATATATAGGATGGTTAAACCTCGAATTGTATTGCTTATATTCGTCTCGGGGAAAGTAGTATTGACAGGTGAATGTTCATACTTTATGTCTGTTATATGTATAGTAATTTTGTAGTAAAGTACGTATACGTTGCAAAACATTTTGGGAATATTTTTTAAATCTTTTTTACAATTTTCAAATATAACGCATCCAGACCTGTATGAGAGTTTAGAAATTAAGTTACATATTTGTACTTGAATAATTATTGTATGTTTATATATGTCATCAGGTGCAAAAATTCGCAAGGAAATTTATGAAGCCTTTGACAACATCTATCCAATTCTGAAGAGCTTTAAAAAGCAGTGAGTCTACATATTAAATTATAAAAGAAAAACTATGTATTTTCTTCTATAATTTAATATGACAATTTATTTCCAACCAACTCCATTTCTAGATTTTAGTTATTTTTTGTAATATATAAAGTCACATAGATTAGCAAATTACTACTTTAATGTTGTTGAGTTGTTAAATATCTCTATTATATTCAACACATACAGAATGTCTTTAAAATTGTTGGATATTCTTACTGCAAATCTTTTTTAGTTTCTATGAAACTGATCTTTCTTTGATGAAAACTTGACGCACATAATTTTTTAGTAATGAGCGTTGAAAATAAACGATTTTCTTAATCAGATTTCGAGAGAGAAAATAGATGAAAAAATATTCTTCCGTTCAGTTATAAGTTTCTATGAAATAAATTCCTCAATACACACTGAAGATGACGAGATCGTCTTTATATTGAATGAAGAAGCTATGATAAAAAATATCCACTGATTTTAGGGCATAATGTACAAAGCAATTGACTTATATACAGATTAGATAATATAATTTATAAAAACATGTCCATCTCTTAATAAAAAATATTAATTTTTTCAATGTGTAAAAAGCAAACAGAGTGAAGGTACAACTTATGTAATCTTACAACGATTTTGTTTCCACATTTACTAAACCAATCAATTGATTAATTGATGAACCGAAATTCTAAAAAAGTATGTAAAAAAATTATATGTACATTGTAACCAGAAGTTTCTAAAACCTTCCCTTTTTGCCTTCCTTAAAAATAATAGTGCATATAATTCTATATTTACAAAATAGTGTCTTCTAGTAATACAGTGCCTCGAATAAGATTCCATGAGTGATTAATGTGTATGCTTTATCAATTTTAATTCTTAGCAGATACTGTATATCAAATAAGGAAGAAAAATGCCAGATACTATGAGATTTTATAAATCCTATCACATAAAATTCTAATTATGTAATAGAAAATATTAAAAGTTAAATATTAAAACTTACCCTTATGCTTTATGATTATACTTTATGATTATGATGTATAATTAATCAATAAAACTTTTTTTATTTCAAATGATATTATACACTTCAAAAAAATTTATATCTGCTAAGAGTTATTATTGTTATATACATGTATACTTGGAAAAATTGTTGTAACACCATTGAATAATTTTCTCCAGTTCAATTGCTACTTATTAAAAGTAATTTGATATATCTTCATTTGAATAATGAGTATTACAATCAACATCCTTAATGTTTTCTCAGCAAAATTATTTTTTTACTGTGAAATCTATTTCATTCATCGGAAAGCTCTTGAAATAAATTGTTCAATTACATAGCAGAATTATATGATAGCATGAGGTCATCGAATTAAAATTTTCAATTCTTGAAAAAAATGTAGAAAAAATAATTTTTTTGCTAATATTGTAATAGAATTTACTTGATTTATTATAAAAGGCTTAATATTTTTGTAAATCCATTTCGAATAGAATGTACATAGAAAAAAAATTCACAATTAGTTTTTCAAATACATAAGCTATAATTTGCGTAATTACTGGTACTATTATATATTTATAGATATATTATATTTGTTGCACATAGCGCGTTTGATTATAATAAAATTATGTACAATGAAAATATTTATTCTTTTTTTCTTTATCAGACACAAAATGCTTGATAGAAAAAATGTACATATATATTTAATAAATAAGAGAATTATGTATTTTGAGTATATATATATATATATATAT